ATTTCTGTAATTTGTCTCTAATTTCTTGATTTTGAGCACAAATGCAGTGATTATTGAAAACTAATAAACAGTTTCTATAGTTTTCCAACAATTTCTCACAGATTTGCAGATCTTTTACAAGACTTTTGTTCTCTTCGGTCAACGATTCCACTGATGGCTCCGTTGAAGACATTCTTCCACTTCTGGACGTCTTGGAGATGATTATCTCATGAGTTAAATGTGGATTGAATTGAGAGATAATTTGTTGATTTAGTGGTAAATTAAGACAAAAGGTGTTCGTCTTGTGTTGACATAATTGTGGGCATATTATTGGGTCCGTTCACAAAGTATGTATGAAATAGTGATGCATTGGTTCTGAAAACTTGAAAACTTTTTTGAGTTGAAGTGGAAGTACTGTATGGAAGAGATAATAAATGGTACAAAACGGTAAAATCTTATGAAATGAGTCGACATACCGGTGCTCACGCTCGGGTTGTCATTTGAAAACGGGTGAAAATATTGACTAAATAAACACAAAGCCATTCATTGGACGGAACGGCTGTTCAAGTGTTCGCTCAATGAGTGCGACAAACGGCGCGACAAATAGTATGACTTTCAATGAACACATCGGGCATTACGGACGCCTTTCCCGACATACCGTGGATTCAGTGGTCGCATAAAAACTCAGTTAAATATTCATTCATTTTTAGTTAAGTTAAGTCTTATATTTGATTCATTGATAGGCCGGCCTGTACTGTACATACCGGTGCACTAAACAAATAGTTGACTCAATGGATCGTTTCAAGCGATTGCGAGAAATCGACTTAAGATTTGAGAATCCGATCGATCAAAACGTGGAGTTATCGCACAAATCGTTGTCTAATTTGAAGCGTTTAAAGCATTTGGGCCTATATTTGATATCATTTAAGTTGAATAAGACATTCTTCGATGGCATTCACACACATTTGCCACGACTCGAGTCACTCGTAGTCCACTGCACTCTACGTCTTACCCCAAAATGAAGAGATCGGTCAAAAAGTTGCCAAAACTTAACTACTTTTCATTTTCTAATACAGTGACTCACGAAGACTACAAGTATTAAGAATATTCCATAATTGAAATTATTGTCTTTAAAATAATTATAATTCATTTAAAAATTATTAAAATTGAATCATATTCTGTATGTCAACTTGATATTATCAAGATAAAAAATAAACGTTTCATTCAAATATTGTATTCAAAAAATTTATTTAGTAATTTCAAGTACGGTAAAATAATATAACTTACAATTTATAACAATTCATGAACTGTGTTAATAAAACTTAACACAAAAGGTAATTCGAAAATTAATTTATAATATATTTACAATCAACATTAACCAGTGTTACCACCTTTTGATTATCAGTACCAACTTAATCTCTCATTTGAATCAAACTAAGAATAAAATAAAAAATGATAAGTTTTCCGAAAACAATCAATTATTACGGTATAGATTATAATCATTGAATGAAATAATAAAAGTCATACTCTTTTTGGATTTGAATACTGATCAGTAAATCCAGAGTTGGGTCTCTTATTATGATTAACATAATCAGCACTACTATTGTTAACACTTCTGTAATCTATATCCAATTGGTAGCTGTCATCACATCTCAGTTGAATCTCATTCTTAATCTTAGGAATAATCTTAAGATAATTAACATTATGTTTGTTAAGATTCGTGCGAATAGTGATGAGTGCGCTCTTGAGTTTGTCCTCATCGGGACTGTCGGGACTAAACAGATACGAGTTGTGGATATTCATGGCATTCGTCAGAAACACTGGTATTATATTCAAGTACTCGAAGAGGTATTTAATGATCTTATAGTCCAAACGGAGGGCCACTTCGTAGAGATCGCAGTTCTATACAAATTAAAGTTATTTCAATTCAAATAATAAATTGTGTTTAAAAACACTAAATGATTACTTGACTGTAGAATATAGTCCAATAGCGTAGCACTTCCTCGCACTGGTAGGGCCGCCACCGGTCGTTCCACTGCGGACTGACCCGAAAGCCGGTTTCAGACATGACTTCCGCCACTTTCTGATAGATATCACTGCTATCGGCGTCGTTGTTGTGCGTTTGGATCAGTTCAGTGATCTGTACCATAAGATTAGCGGCTTTAATCTCATCCACTTTGGACTCGAGTTCCTTCTGGAAGTGTTGAATCTTGGCGTCCGAGAGCTCAGAGTTGTATTTCTGGCTTCTGATGGTCCGCACCAACGCCTCCTCTTCTTGTGACTTGAATTTCGTGAACAGTTTGGCGAAGTCTTCCCTCGCATTCATCACTTCATAGTATCGATCGTTATTTGAATTGAAATAATTGTTATTCATTTCCACAAACAATGGGAACTCCATCCGAGCGTTCGTTATGTTTCGGTATCTCCTTAAAGACTAGAAGTGAATAGAAAAATGAAATCACTATTTGTTTCAATGAGTTAACCGTCAAATAAATTACTCTCAAATAGATGTCAACGAAATGCTTATAATCTGTTCGCCATCTTTCAGGCGCAGTATATCTGAACTCATATCCCATACGACTGTGGATTATATGAATCCACTCGTAATCAGTGATTAAATCGCTGTTATTATGTGAATAGTTTCTAATTTCGGTCAATAGTGTCGTATATTTGATGATATCTTTAGTAGTCATTGAACTCGAGTTCTTAGTTTTGGGAATATTTTTAGGACTTTTCGATCGTTTTCTATCTCTTTCTACTCCTTTAGGACTTTTCGGTCTTTTTCGATCCCTTTCCACATTTTTAGGACCTTTAGATCGATTTCTATCCCTTTCCACGTTTTTCGATGAACTTTTTGTCGACTTTTGCGGACTTCTCTCTCGACTTCTCCTTTTGGGAGAACTTTGACGCGACTTTTCACTGCTTTGGCTATCAATTGATTTGTTTCCAGTGTTTTGTTGATTTGTTGGCTTTTTTGTAATCACGGCTACGATTTGGATGTCATCCGAGTTCTTAAAGCTATTCATTTGGAGTTCGTTTTGAACTTTTTCTACAATTTTGTCGATATTTCTGTCGTTTATTTTAAGTCTCTTTTGAAGTCTGAGTGAAGACTTATTGTATATATTTTTGGCGATCGATTCCAGAGATTCAGTAATCTTTTGGTTTGAATAGAAGACAGTCTCCAGACTTACAGTCGTTATGATATGCAAGAACTCATAGATATATTCAACGATCCGATTACCCCTTTTCATCGCATCCTTGTATTCAACCGTATTCTGTGAAAAACAACTCATAATAATAATAAAAACAATTTCAAACAAAATACAAACCTTTTCGTAGAATACAATCCACTCTTTAAGAATTCGCTCGCATTCTTCTGGAGTCCATTCGAGACCTGTTTCTGACAATATTTTCGAGATCTTTAGGTAAAGACCCGGTTCTGTGAGATGTCCCTTAAGAGCACCGATCGACTGAACTATAAGATTAAAGCCTTTAATCTCTTTAATGCTATTTTCGAGCCGTTTCTGAATAGTTGAGTCTTTGCGAAATTGTTGCAACTTTTGTTGGTTAGTGAATGTCCGGTAAAGTCCGAAGATGTCTTCGATGACCGGAAGGCTATTGTTTGTGATGTCTTTACGCCATCGCCTATCATGTGATGTCAGGAATTTAGTCCTGGCGTTCATTAACTCTAAATAGGCATCGTTTCTGTGATTGAAATACAATGTATTAAACTCTTCAAAGTATACGAAATTGCTTTTCGCCTCTAATATCGAGTCATATCTGTTGAGCGCCTGAAATATTGCAAACAAATTAGAAAATTGATGTAATTTTAATGGTAATGAGCTATACTTCAATGTATTTGTAGACATATGTTTGATAACACTTTTGCCATACACTCGGGTCGTAATTCTTAAACCCTTTGGATGTCATCTGTTTGTGTATCACATGATTCCACTCAAAATCGGTGATCAGATCGCAGTTGTTTCGCGAATACTCTTTGATTAGATCCAAAAATATGCAATACTTTTGAATGATTTCGTTAGTCATCTCACAAATCAATTGCTTATCATTTGACGTATTTGTCGTCTCATTAAAAGTGGATTTTCTGGACATATCTGACGAATAGCTGCGATTATAAGTAGAACTTCTGTTATCATATCGATTACCACTCATATTATCTCTAAAGCTGTTATGATATCCACCCCTTCCATGACCCCTAACAGGTCTTCTGTCACTGTAATGTCTGTCGTCATTATTAGCAGATCTATAACCACCCTCTGGCCTATAGCTGCCATCAGGTCTATAGTTGTCAACAGATCTGTTATCACTAACAGGTCTATTGTCATCAATAGGTCTTTTGTCACCAATAGGTCTGTTATCACCAACAGGTCTGTTATAACCGCCAGACCTGTAATCAAGTTGAGGGTCCGCGGGTCTGCCGCTATCAACAGGTCTATTGTCACTTAGGGGTCGGTTATCATTAGCCACTCGCGTGTAATAAACAGGAGTTGTCTGATCACTAAAAGGCCTCTCATTAGTACTCAAGTTATCATTGAACCGACGGTTGTGATCACTGATCAGTTGATTGTAAGTGTTTTGATGACTATATGGGTTGACTGGCATTGGGACGGGTATTACAGGCAAAGGATGAGTCGGTGTCTGAATGGGTCGGGCGATGGGGTTTTCAGTCACTTTGATGGTAACATTCCTCGTAATCCTCTCATTGATGTGATTGATCCGTATCGGCCTACCATTGCCCACAATTATCTGCCATTAAGTCACACATTAGTTGATAATACATGAGAGACCTGTGGCCAACTTTACCGAAAGTGGCGATCACTGGTTAACTGATCCAGAAATACATACCTCAAAGACATGAGTGTTGAAGTTAACCTCTTTGTTAAAGACTGGTATCAAAGATGTCGACGACATCATGTCCACGATTGGTATGATTTGCTGTATTTTAGTCAAAATGTCCACAAATGGCACTGAATTGGTGTCACTCTGGCGTTCAATCTCATAGTACTTCTCGCGGTACACGATATCACAAAACTTATCACACATTTTGACACTTCAATCGCATTCACAAATGCATATTAAACATAGGTTTCCGTAATAATTGTAAAATAGTTTGCAATTAAAACTAATTGTGATTACAGTCGCGGTGTTGGAGTCATAAACAGCTCATTATTGCAGTCAATGTTTACATCACTTTTATTTCATTCAAAAAATTCAAATAAACTCCTCATAAGTAACGTACACTTATTGTTGGCATAAACTGAACCCCCATTTGCACAACAATTACATATTCACATAGATTTTCATTAGTTTTTATATGTATTATAAAATCCCAGCCCATAGCCAATGCACACATTATTTATGAATATAAATGTCATTACAAGACATGTGTGTTTTGAAAAGTTTTTTGCCATTAATTTACTCATCATTTAAATCATGATTTGTTTAAACGCTTTGCGTTTGAATGCAATTAAGTTTAACCGCAATCTCTTGAGACACTTGTATTCAAGGCGTGCATCCGTTTCCACTTTTGTCAAACCAGATGTGTTTGAAATGTGGGATCAAATGGAGAGACAATTCGCGACTATCGATGTCAACACATTCGCTGAGATCAGTGGAAGTGATCCGAAGATGAGACACAAAATAGAGCTAATATTGAGTGAATACGAGTACGAGAAGCAGACATCACTGCGAGTGCCCACCACTATCACCACCGATCAGATGAACGAGTTGTTAGATCTGCCGCAACACTGGGAACGCAAGAGATACCTGACCTTCTTGTGCAGGACTGAGTTGTTGAGACTCAAGAGGTCTGCAGACAAACGTACGAAGACACGCAAACCAGCGCTCAGTGACCGTCAAAGTGATCCACCGATTGGCGTATGGCATGAGAACCGGGAGGAACTGGTGTACGGCGTGTACCGCAACTCACTCTTCCAACACGTGTCCCGTAATCGCGTAAAGAGTCGACTCTATGGACACCGCTTAAGAAGTGCGGCACTCTTTGGCCAGAAACTGGTCGTTGATTTGGGTTTCGATGAATACATGAAAGTCTATGAATCGCGTCGACTCTTAAAGCAAATCCATTATCTCTTCAATTATAACAAATACGAGACTCGAGAGCCGTTTGATTTGCATTTTGTCAACTGTTGTCCACAAGAAGTATCGATGAAGGAGTTGTCGAAATACTTGCCGAACGCCTCGTCCCCCCACTCGCTCATCACATTTCACTACAATAAGTCATATTTGGATGTCTTTCCAAAGGAGCGATTAGTGTATTTGAGTCCACATTCCAGCGAAACACTGGATGTGGTCAGTGGTGATGACATCTATATCATCGGTGGTCTAATAGACAAGTCCTATAGAGAGCCAATTAGTGCCATCAAAGCCCGTGAGGATGGGATCCGTTCGGCCAGACTTCCGCTTCACTTACATCTGGAGTGGAAGTGCGGGTCTCAACACCTCTGCATCAATCAGGTGTTGGCTATACTTCACGACCAGAAGTTTACTAACGATTGGAAACAGACGCTCAGGCGTCACATACCTGTCCACAAATGGATGACCGCTGAGGAGATTGAAGGACAGAAATACTTGGAGCACAAGACTAGCAAATATGTTTGACTCTAACAGCATTTATAGTATGAATTACCGGTTTATATAATTTATTGTAAGTGTTTTGTAAATTATTTATTGCTACGATAATAGCAATTTGCTATACTGTAAGTACTAGTGCACTGTATCAGAGAAATAATGAGTTTTTTTGTAAATGTATTTTTATGTTAAAATATAGTTTTCTTAAGTGATACGAATACAATAAATTTTATTGAATAAAACATCAGTGAATGTAATGCTATGATACAAATAGAAACCATTAGCACCGACGTTCATAAGGTACTGGCTCATTTCCTTCACTCTGGCCACCAATAATTTGCGATAAATCTTGAGGTTATTCTCGTTTCCAACCGGTGGTCGAACAGTGTTGGGTGTAGTGGTGAGGTTGGGCTGTCCGGCCAACACATCGGGTGCCACTACACCAGTGTCTTGTGTGGGCGGATCAACCAAACCCATGTTGTTCGGTGCCGGGCTTGGGGTTATGGCCATGCTTAATTATTTCTAACCAAATGTTTGTTTGGGTCAATGTATCCGCAGTGTTCAAACAGTATGCACTCAATGTTTAAAATGTTTAGTGTATTATGTTTTCACTGATTGTATGGTAACTATATTTTTAAATAAATTCATTGACAATAGAATTATTGCACAATTTTTAAAATTAACTAATTTTCAGAAACTAATTGTCAAAATGAAATGTTTAATAAATTATGTTTCATCTGATTATTTATTTCTAATTTGGATATTTTATAGAATTGATTATTTTAAGTTATTATTTATAAATTCTAATAAACAGTACATAATTTACTAATTATCTCGGAATGTCATTTAAATTTAGTTAATTAAAGTCTTAATTATTTTTCAAGTTATAAAAGTTAATAACTAATGAAATGTCATTTAAATTACAAAACTTCTGATTTATTGACTTTTAAAGTAAATACATATTTGAAATAATTTGCTTGTTTTTAACCAGCGAGTGGACACTATGCGGTTTTGGAGTACTTGTATGTGAACCGGGAGTACTTAAACCTACCGATACTCAGACCTCCGCTTTTCCGGTAGAGCCAACCGTCGACTCTCATCCGGATATTCACTCCGTCGGCAGCACTTTCCGGTGTATTGTGGTGCAGTCTCTGCATCGGGTATTTATCCATTTCCTCGAGTTGTGGGTCCAACTCATAGATTTCATAGTTGTCATGTGGCACAAGTAGACCGCCCTCCGGGTACTTCCAGCAATCTATCCATTTGCACCAATACTTGTACTGATTGCTGGGACGGAATACCTCGGTCTGATCATTCATCACAAACAATGGCGTCCGGGGTAGCACTGGGGCTCTGTTTGCACCGGCAGGCAACGACAACTCAATGCCCTCTCGTTGACTGAATGCAGTGGGATTGGAGGCAATGGATTCAAGTCGGGGACCATTGGGCCCAAGTCTGTGGTAATCTGTCGATTCTGATTGTGTGGCTCCAGTGCGTGATTGAGTGGGTGGGGAACGCCTAATATCTTTCTAAGAGGCAGATTCGGCACTTGGAAGGGACGCATTGGTTCCAATTGTGGCCATACATTGGTCATAATACTGGTCTCGTAGAGGCGCTCATACCGATGTCGGGCCCGTATTTCAGTCATGCCATCGTCCCACTCCTCCATAGCCGCAATCACACCGTTCTCTGGTATATGGAGTTTGGCGTAATGTTGAACTTCATTGAAATTGA